CCATTTTAGCATTTATATTGTTGTAGATAAGTCACCAGAAGAAAAAACGTCTGCTCGAGCCCAATTAGCAAGAAGAAATCCCCAAAATTTATAGCATAAATATTCCTGAAGAAGTCAGCAATATAAACATTGAGTTTATTTGCCAGCTCTCTGAATTTCACAGTGTGGACCTACTTAATTTAATTGTTTAATATCCTTGATCAAATATGAGTTTGTTCATAAGCATTTGTTCACTAAGGGCTGCCACACATCCATGGCCTTACATTGTTATCTCTTGAACTCTCCCTTCTCAAGTGGATCTCCAAAGCACTACATTGGAGAATACACCAAAAAACTCTATCTTCATTTATTCACATCGCATCACACAATTGTATTTTCTCACTCCCTAATTTTTTTGTTGTGCCTGAAATTGACAGGGTAAATAACCTTATAAATGTGGCAGTTCTAATGTTGATTGAATAGAGGTGCCCTTTCCTTTCTCCAGAGCTTGTTTTTTCACCCAGAACCCCGACATACATCCCTTTATTAGCTTCATGTCCTTTGCTTTCTGTATTCCTTGGCCCTTCCCTGCATTCTCCAGAGAAGAGCACGTCCCAGCATGGATTCAGCTGCTGCACAGAAGCTGCAGAAAAGGCAGAAAGTTGCAGGCAGCTTCCTTACTGACACAGAAGCAAGTCAGCGTATGTCAGCTGCTTTATTGTCCCTGCATGCCAGCCCTTACCCAAAAACACATGCGAGGGACCTTCCCCACAGTCATGTGTGCCATGGGCCTACACACTGGCAGCTGCTGTGGAGCAGCTGACGGAAAGCAGCGTGTTTTTATGGCAGGAAGGGAGCGTCTTCCAGCAGGCTTCCATAGCAGATGAGTTAGCCCGTCAGAAAGCTTCAGTAATAAAATGCGTACAGTCCAGAGAAAACCTAGACAGCTAGTAAACTGTAGCAGAGTCATGGAGAAACAGGATTCGTGTACAAACTGACAAATCAATCACTACTGGGAAATCTACATTTTTAAAAAATACAGGCTTCAATCCTATAATGCATCCATTTAGGTGAATCTCTGTATTAATCCACAGCTCAGTATTGCAGAACTGGGGCTGCTTTCAGAACAGGATATTAACTCACCGTGTTAATGACTTCCATGAAAATTGCTATATCCTTGGCCTAAGAGCTCAATCAGGTGAAAAGGTTCACCCCGCAGGGAAACAGAGCCTTAAAACTCCAGCAGATGCCTAGAAGAAACCAGCTGACAAACCTTTTTGGAGTGAGATTATAAAGCACACCCACTAGCAGACTGCAGTAAGAAGCCGAGACGAGCAGCACCATGGGGCACCTGCCAGCCTGCACCACGTCTCCAGGCAGAGCTGTCTCACTGAGCAGGGACTCAGGAATTAGCTTTTGGTGATGCAGTTAGGAAAACCAAACTGGTTCTTCAGTTTGGGCGACTGATATGCATATAGTGCCACAAAGATCATTCTGTATGCCTGTGTTGCTGTGCTTCTGCAGAGGTTCACATAACCTCCACAGCAACTGTGGAGTTGACAGTCTTACAGAACAGGTCTCTTTTTCGCCTTTAAAACTGACACTCAGCCAGAGTGTGACCTTTTTTAAGTCTCTAGTGGAAATGGAGATATATTGGTTTCTTCTACCATGACCCCCTCCCCTAAAAGGCCATTCCATAATTAGAATTATTACAAAAAATAACTTGACTTTTCAATTAATACTTTTTCAGAAACAACAAAATAATGAGGAGGATGGGAGGACTGTACCTTTACTGTTTTCCTAAATGGCATTACAATGACAGGATTGCAAACAAATCATTCAATTGCTCTGCCGTGCAAATTCTAGTAAATGCTCCTGGGAGTTAGCTGTATTGAATAGTTTTCTAGTTTTGCATAGGACAATTGCCATTTGGTGAACTGCTGTTTGAAACTCTGCTCTAGAGTAAAAGGTTACAATGATTCTCTTGGAGACATACACAGATTTTGACAAAGAACATAAATGGGCTTTGGAAAGCATCTCCACAACTAAAACCTTTTGTACACTAGGTCGTTTGAGGGGTTTACACACAAACACTTAATATGGAAGAAAGCCCAGAAATTCCTCAGAATTAAAGGTGAGTGACATGAAGAGAACAAAAGGAGCCTTGAAATACCGCCTAGCTGACTAACTACATTTTTTTTTTCACACAGGCCATTGCAAACTCCAATTGCCAGAGCCTTTCTTTTTTCTGTCAAGGAGCCAGATGACTCTTGTGGAATAAAGAGGGCTTTCAAGATTATGCATTTGGACACAATTGTCATATAGTGCCAAAAGGTTAAAGCAAACTGTCTGGGAGAAGCCTGGTACCTCTTCAGAGCAATCTTCAGGTAAGAGGCTGGGAAGAATTTTAACCTTGGTCTTTCAGATCCTACAGAGGCCATAAATTCACATGTGTGTCGCTCATGCTGGACCTGGCAAAGGTTCTGAGGCATAGGCAAGACATGAGGATATGTCAGGGAGTAAAGGGAGGGCTGGAAAGCATCCAAGGAAAGATTACTTCTGCTGTTTTAAAAGGTACCACATAAAGCCATTTAGAAGCCAGGTGCACAAGAAACTGAGTTGCATCTGCATTTTCTGATTGTCCACTTTATCAGGAAACTGCTCTGTACACCATATAGAAAATAGCATTTTTATTCCTCTGTTGGAATGTATAGCATATATATAGTCAATGGGATGTGTCATCTAGAAGACTCGTTTGAGCTTTCTTTATCCAGTGACGGTTTTGCAAGGTCAGACAACAAAATAAGGAGATTACAAAGCCACATGTCACTGCATAAATCCACTGTCAGCCCATTCTAAAGACTATCTTACTGGAAATTGAATTGCTTGCTACTAAAAGCCACCAAACAATACAAAGATCTTCAGGAATGGGTGGGTGGTATAAAAACAGTTGCTCAGTACAGTGCAGATTCTTTTTAGGGGATAATATTTGTTTTATGTACAACAGTAGAATTTTGCTAAAACAATCATGCTTATCAGGCCACTAGGCCTTTGAAGGGCTGAGAAATGTTTATTTTTGCACCTGTTATTTTAAGACAAAAGAGGCTTCCCACTGCATTACACAGAGTAAATTCTCTTCATGTTCCTAGCCAAGTTCTACGAAGAGCAGGGTTTTTTTTCTTTCTAGCTAGGAAAAAACCATTATACATCCTTTTTCGCTGATTTCACAAATCAATGAGTATGGCAGAAATTAAGTTACAGCAATTATTTCCCCTGTTTCTATGGTATTTCTTCTCCATCTGCTACAAAGGAATGTCCTATGCATTATGTAATTTATGAACCCATTACAATGGAATGCTCTTCTTCTATAGGCATAGCACCGTATGTTGAAGCCTTTGATAAGCTGGTGAATGGAAGTGTTGCTGAGTTTCTCAGGTACAGCAAGATTCTTGAAGGTGACGTGAAGACACATGTGAGTATTTACTCAAATTTTCTCCCCATGATATAAGCGTACAAGTCTTGGAATCTGTGTGAGCAGCCTTGATTGCTGAGTAGAGGAGAATCTTAATAGCAGTATTCTGAATTATTAGTTCTTGTAGCAGTAATAACCTGGCATAACACACTGAGAACAGTTGGTTCAGGAAGGGCGAAAGACTGTATGGATTCATAAGAAGAGACTGCTCCCCTTCTACAGCACCAAAGGTTGAAGACCGTAGTATGCAAAATATATAAATATTCTCAGTCACAAGCAACTTGAATTGTCCTGTTTGCAGGACAGGAACACAATTAAGAACACGAGTCAACAACTGAGTAGCAAACAGTAGGTGGGTCCGAGCAGCGATAACTTCTTGCGGTTGTCTTCTAGGCACATGTATCATCATTCCAATTAATTTAGAGATTTTGTTTCTTTGATTGATTGTTTTTATTACTCACATTTCTTTCATTTGGAACAACATAGCAAACTAAAAAATGAGCATGTCAGACATTTCAATGACCCTTTTTTACCACATATGTCATAGCAAGGAAATACTGTGCTACCATTTTCATGATGAAATTACTTTGTAACCTTATAATATCTTGTGATCAGAGCTTGTTTGTTTCATTTTAGTTTTTTAAGCCTGTCTCCTCTAAAACTGGTGGTGATAGAATGACAAAGGATGGACTGGTGTTACCAACGGCTTACCAGTATAGATTTTTGCAAAAAAAAGACACACAAAAAAGCCAGCGTCAGTTTGAGCTGGATCTGAAGGAGTGTGAAGCTTTTGATTTTTTCTAGTAGATCCATGCCATCGGGCCTTTCTCCATGTGTACATTTCCCAATTCATTGCAGCTGCTGCTCTACACAACGAACACTGTAGCCAGAAAAACATGCAGTCCTACAAGCTACTGGGGCTTATGCTGCAAGGCCAGCATAAATGTTTTGCAAGACAGCCAAAGTAACCAGTCTACTCACAGAGCAAGAGCTCTGGGATTATTCTGTGAACTGTGTTTTCTCTGTAGTGTTATAAGTTCTCGTTGGTAGGGTAGAGTTTCTGACCTAGTTAGGCCTAGAAAACTGGAAGGAGGAAGGAGATCAGGCAATTCTAGAGGATCTTTGTGTTTCTGAGGAAATGCTGCACTTCCTTTTTATTTGAAAAAGCTTTTTCACCTAGCAGTTATACTGTAAGCTACAATATATGTACTTTGTTACTTTGCTCTTAAAAGACATTAGGGAAAAATTAGTAAACGGGGCGGGGGGGGGAATAATTAATCTAACTGAGCAGAGAATTGCTCCCTGGAAAGGATCGGTTCTAGCTTTGGTCATTACATTCATTAGACACCATTATTTAGCAGTTGATTTCTCAACAGTCTAGATCTGAGAGATACAGAAATAGTACCAACACTAAGCAGGGAAAAAAACTGCATTTAACATTCTAAATAACTAAAACCTTTTTAATATACACTATCTGTAAATGTTTAAATCAGTAAGTGTATTAATTTATGCATTTGTTACTATTTGATACTCATAATTGAGTCCATATAAAAGATTATTAATAATTTATCTGCCAAGTCTGTGGATAGTCCCTAGCATATTGTTGATGATAGTGTAATGCAAACTGTGATAAGGAGTATTTGTTAGGACTATGAGATTAGACATAAACAACTTTCCCTTACATAAAGAAACAGCGATTCTGATTGCAGCCTACTAAATATTCTGAAATCTTAGATTCTGAATTTACAACATGAAGCAGACTGTGGTTGCCTTATGCTCATGCTTATCACTGAAGCAACATCTGTGCTTTACCTTAACAAGTGGAACAAGGAGTATTTTTCTTCTGCGTATCTTATAGACCATGTGTCCTCAGCATTATACTTGCAGCTGCTGTCTCTTTCACATAATGAGCTGAAGGGAAGGTTGTATTTTATTTCAAAAAACACCTGTTGCCTAGAAAAACCTCACATACCTGATTGACCAGAATGGTAATATGAGAGAAAGAGAGACTTCATATTATGCTAAAGAAATGAGGGATTTAACATGATGTGTTTTGTGCTGATTGGTGTAAGAATTGCGTGGTTTGTGTTTCTGGTGAAAGGAAGAATACAGCCATAACTAATATCTGTTGGGGAGTCCCGTTCCTGTTTTTTCAGCATGCTGTACACTAAATAGTCTATTGAAAGAGAACAAAATAAAAAACTAACAGCTAGCTCCTGGCTCTGTTAAACACAGCAGCGCGGTGGATTTTACAAAGATTAGTTTATCAAAGAAGAGTTCTGCTTAGACTCAATCTTGAGAGCAGCATATTTCTCATTCAAATTACAGTACGTGCAGTGGTGCATCTCTGAGGTCAACTGCATTAAAGAAACTAACCACTTTTTAAAAGACAGAGAGGATGACTAGGGTTTTTACTTTGTCTATTTAAAACAAATTATCCTAAACGGCTAAGATGAGATCCTTTTCCTGTCCTGTCACCGTGGAATAAAAATCTGGTGATTATATGGATATTTCTGTGAAATACAAAGTTCCCTACAGGTACAGATTTTATGAAAGCACTTTCCGCTCTCCATGTCATAACTATCGAGCGTGTGAAGTCAGTGAAAGAGTGAGTATGGCCAGGACTGCTGCCAACCAGCTGTCTTTGGCCTGACATACCAGTGTCTTGGAGGCTGTCACCAACTATTACAGGTTATAACAGCCCTGAAGCCGATTCACCATGTGGGCCAACATTGAACCATTCTTCTGTCAGAATGAGGGAAATTCAAAAGCAGTATAAAATAGGCTGTGGGTCTACAGCGTAGGCAGTTCTCTTATGCCCAGCAGATAGGATAGCACTGGCTTATTGCTGGATCACAGAGGCATGAGTCCCATCACTTTGCCCAGATGCACCCACTACTACAGACAATGCGCTGAGGATGACAAAGAGCTGCCTGTGGAAGACACGGTCTACCTTCAGATTGTGTCCCAGTGAGGAAGCTGGTCAAACAGGTTTGATATGCTCTTTGCCCTGTCAAAGCAAAGCAAGCAAGATTTTAGAAGGCCAAAAAGCAGGTTTTTGTGATGTATTTATTATGAGCTTCTTCACATTGTTTTTGTTTATGTGATATCTCAAGTGGTGGAATACTTTGGCTTGAGTTTGAATAATGTACCAGATGAGACATAATGATAAGAAGAGAATGTACTAGTTCTACAAGAGAAGGACAGATAACATAAAATTTCCATATTTTAGTATTTTATGTGGTACGGAGCAGAGCAGAATTACAGCCTTCCTGTCAAACACATAAACTAATACTTGCCTTTTTTGTTGTTTATTTGTAAAAATCTTTTAACCTCCTAACCCCACCAGTTGAAAGAACAGATTGTCTGAGTGATTCAGTTATGTTCCCTCTTCTCTCATCCAAGCTATTTAACTTGGAAAGGAAAACTATAGAAATATGGATGCCTTTTCCCTCCTCTCTGCCATCAACTTCCAGCTGCTGAAATGCAGAGCTCAGACACACAACCAACTACTTCTTGGGTTTCGAACATTCAGAAATAAAAAGGCTGTTGGTTAGCTTGCTACTTATTGGGAGAGAGTTTAGATACAATTCATTGCATGTATGACTACTCGAACAAGATAGCACGAAGCAGCAATTCACAGCACGTTACCCAGTCTGCAGGGGTTCTCTGTGTCCATGCACTGATTTGTTATCATCATGAGCAGGGGAAGCAATGTTCACCGCACAAACATTTTTTGTATGCACATACCCACAGAGTTTCTTTTTCTTATCTATTACATGAAAGCAATGGCATTCTCCTCTCCTCCTTCCAGGCATAGTCCATGTAAATATAGACAGACAACTGAAAGCAGGAGTTATCTTTTATGAGGTATGTATGCACTTTGCAAAGTGCAACTCCGGTTTGTCCTATCAGTGAAGTTAAAAAATCCTAGCTTCCTCATTTTTTCCAAAGAGTAGTTATTACACATGAAATAGCTGTATCTTGTCTTTTCTTGCGAGAGATGTTGAAGAATTAGTCAGAAGAATTATGACTTTCATAGCCCTGAACTTTGAACAGGATGTGCTGCTGTCTGTGATACACCAAAAAACACTTTTGCACTTTACCTTACCTAATCTAAACACAGACTATCAAGCCCATTATTTGACTGATTCCTCATTAACAAGGCAATTTGCTTACAGAGCAACAGAATGCACAAGTGTACTCTCGTGTTCATCTTTTGTGCCCAGAGGCTGTGCGGTTTTAGGCATTGTGTTGAAAGTTGAATTAGAGCTCAGAGAGGAGGATGATGTCAACATGCCCAAAGAGAAGCGTGCTGTCAGGCTGCCTTTGCATTTCTGTGATAGGTATTTTCTGCTACATGAAATAAACACCAAACCAAGTAGCTACCACAGGACTGGGAAACGCAGAATACATAAAAAAGAATAAAAAGACATTTTTTAAAGCATACAAAATGCACTCAGCTGGAAGAAAGAGACTAAGTATAGAAAACAGTACTGCTATCCACCAAAAGTGAGAAAACCCAAATCATCATCAACCAAAAAAGCAACCTTGGAAACCTGTCAATATTAAAGTTGATTTTGTAATGCTAATTCAGCTATATTTCTTACCCTGTATGTGTACTACTAGATACTTCATAACATAAGCAATAAAGAATGTTCGCTTTAATATGACAAGAAAGTTGGAAATGCAATATACATAATGTAGCCAAGTGGCTAATCCAGAAAAAGTATCATTTTTAGGAGCTTTACAACTTTTGATTGCTCTGTTCCAAAGGACGACTTCACTTGTGGCCTAGGGATTGAATCTGGCTTTCAAAACAAGCAGGATTTATTGGGTCAGGTGCAGTGGTGTGCAGACATGGTTGCACCTGTCTGACTGTAAGACATCTGGTTGGGAATAAAGATGGCTCCTGAGCATGAAGAACCTGTCCATTGTGAGTCTAAACCAACACCCCCTGAAAGACTGGGAGTTTTTCCATTAATTTTGATGGGAGCTGG